TAGGAATTGGCGCAACCAAGAAACCCAAATCTAATTCAATTTCCAACCCATACCCAACACCATTCAACTTTGTTCTCACCCATTCCTTTCCCTTCCGCTCCGCCATTCGACTTTTGGGGCACAGACGGACTCTCACGGACACTACACGGATGGACTGTTCAATCTCCGCCATTCCACTCCGCCAATCGACTTCTCAACCTCTCAAAAACTCTCACCTGGTGTTGTCTCCCCCAATCTTAGAATCTCTTGAGATTTTTTTTGTTTTCGAGCCTTATATGGCAATCGATAGATGCCTTTGATTCCACAGTCAACTCAACAGACGATAGAAAATGAAGAAGAAGAAGAAGCAATCTTGTTTCTCTTTTCTTTTTATTTGTTATTTTGATTTATTTAATGTTTCACACTTTCAATTTTTTTTATTTTATTTTTTGTAACATACAGCCCTTGTTTAACACCCATTTTATTGAAGAATTTGATTTCGAATAGTTATTGATGGAAGAATGTGTAGTTAAAAAGTAAGAAAATTTTTTGGGTTTATGAGTAATATTATTTTATTGATAGAATATGTGGTTGAAATGAAGAAAGAGAAAAAAAATGAGAATGAGAATGAAAAACATGGATGTCAAACAAGGGCACAATGAACTTAATATTGTTTTATGAGTTAGATGGCCTATTAATCTTTTCTTAAGTATTGTGTTTGATTTAAAATCAGGTATCAGTTTTGTATTGTAAATTAAATTAGCTCTATGAATTCAATGCTTTGTGAAATGTGAATTGCTTTTGCTTCCAGTATTACTGCATCTGTGAATTGCTTTACTTTTGCTTTCAGTATTTGTGATTCTATGAATTGAATTGAATTGCTTCAATAATTGAATGTTGTAAATTGTTGAGGGGAATTTCTTGAGTCTTTCCACTCAAACGCATACATTATTCGAATTTTGTTGCGAACAAAAACCTGAAAATGTGCTCTAAGCTAGTAGCTTATATGAAAAACTTATCATAGTCAAATTAAGCAACATTTCAGGAAATAGAGGGACTTCTATTATATAGTTGAGTGTTAGTGATTTTTGTCCAAGTGTATGAATCAAAATATTTAATTTCCTCAAGTACTGTTTTATGGATTTTAAATATATATTATCTCTAGAACTAGATTGATTGAAGGATGATAATTTTACATGATAAATTGGATATGCTCTTGCTCCTATAATTGCTAGGGGTGTGACGTTGGGCGCTGACCAATCCGTCATATATATTCTTCCTACTACCGAGGTACTTAATCAAGTGAAGATGGAATTGGTCAATGTTGCACTCGCTCTTCTCAAAGGTTAGTAATTCACTCCTGAGTGATGAAAATAATTGTCAATAGTTTCATGTATTTTGACATTTTGTATGCCAAATG